AGAAATGGGTGAATCAGATTTCTTGAAACCTTTTGTTCTGACCGAGTGCCTTCGTTTGGCTTCATTCCTGCAGGCTACTGAGTGGACTCTCCACGTGCCTGAAGGGACACGGTTTTCCCCTGAGGGGCTTGCATCGCTCTCAGAGCGATGCAACGACACCAGACTGACTGGTGTTGTCGTTTGTCGGTCACACTACTCTTGACACAAACCAAGCTCCTATAACTTTATTCTATAACATTAAAATGTACTAGTCAAACACATGAATATGAGTCATTTTCCCAAGCTGGACCGGCAATTAAAACTAATCGCAGCACATCAGTTCGTGATGCATCCCAAGCATCCCTCACCTGCAATTGCGCTTCTTCCCGGCAGCCTTCTGGAACCAATGCAGAGCGCGGCCAACCCAGAAAGTTGCTGCGACCGCCCGGGTGTGCCAAACGAAGAAAAGGCATTTCTCTTGGACTCCTTTAAAGGGGGAAACGCAGAGTGGGAATGCTAGAAATGGGTGGGGCGGTTAGTTTTCCCTAAACCTTTATTTAATCTGTCTGCCTTCGTTTGGCTTCCTGCAGGCTGATTGGACTGTTATCGTTTCTTGGTTGCACTACCCCTATTCGCACAAACCAAACTCCTAATAGCTCATTATTAATTAGTCAAAATCATGAATTTAATCTATTATGACTAGCTGGACCGGCAAATCGCTGCACACAGCTTCATCATGCATCCGAAGCATCGGTCACCCGGCAGGGGGCCATCACGAGAAGCATCATTCATTGAAGGGTGCCATGTCTGTGCTTACCTGACTCTGACAAGAGTCACAATGACTGAGCAAAAACAAAATTTGATCTGTAAGACACACACATTATTACAGTTAGTTTTTGCATCCCAAGCATCCCTCACCTAGACGGGCGCTTCTTCCCGGCAGCCTTCTGGAAGCGGCGCAAATCGCAACACTTCAAACCGACGCAGAAAGCTGCAGCGACCGCACGGGTGTGCATGGCATTTCCTGCCAGGCAGTGGATCTCCTGACAGCTGCACAAGAACTTTCACACGAATGAGCACCAGTCAGGCCGGTCTCCTCTTCCGACAAATGCTGCAGCTTCAGCTTGTGAACAGGGAAGCACTGGAACATCATCTTCTCCACACCATTCATCAGACGACCATGTCGCATGCACCAGATCTGGCCCTTGGGTGTGATGCATGGCGAGTGCGTCTCCGAAGCGCTCGTTCGGTCGATCATCTGGGACACATTCAGGAAGCCCTTGAAACCAGCCGTGTGGTAGACGTCCAAGATATGCTTCAGTCGCTGCACCATGGATGGCGACGAACCCGGGCAGGACTTCAGCTTCTGAGGATCCACCTGATAGCACGTGACATTTGAAGCGATGATTTCACATGTCACTGAGATTATGCTGCCTTCAGCTCTTTCATCTTCAGGACGTGTTTCCTGACCCAACGCGGCTGACCGCTGCAAGGCCTCAGGGTTTAGGGTTTAGGGTTTAGGGTCTCACATCAACACCATCAATTAGTCATAATACGAACAGTGTCGACAAGTTACTGCAGACAGGGCACTGCCGCGTCATATCAATATGGTTCTGGCGTCGGCGAATCTGCTGATTCTTCTTCACATCAATGTCGCCGTTCTTGAACAGAAGCTCATGCCTCTGCTGTTATGTCCATGATTAGAGCCAGCCGAAGCTCGCTTCGAAAGAGAGCAGCTCATTCGAAGCGAGAAGAACCTTTCTCCCTCCGAACGACCTGGTCTCTTTGGAAGCAAGCTTCAGCTGCCTATCATCCTGAGAGACAGGCAGAAATGCATGTAAGGCCAACTAAATCTAGAGAGAAATCCTGATTTCGCTAAGTGTCATCGACAGATACGGCTGTCTTGGATACTGCTTCAGGAGCTCTGCAATGATCTCGTCGCATTCTGCCTTGAAGCTATCCTGCGATCTGATAGCAGCGTGGGCCACATCCCTCAGTTCAGTCTGGCACTGCCTAACGATGTGCTTCTGCCACAGGGCGACACAAGGACTGCCATGCAAGAAAACCTGATCCCACTTTGAATTTGTGAAAAGTGGCTTTCGAACCATGATGATGTAGACGCGTCTTCGGTGCACGGGGCAGCCTAGTTTCATCGGATCGATCCTGACATAAGAGACATAGTAATGCTGCCGCAGCCGTGCCATCTCTCGCCAAACCTGAAGTGTCCATTTGAAGGAATGAAGGTTGCAGGCTGTCAGGTCTCCTAAGGTCGCTGCAAAATCCCAGAACTTGATAAGGCCGTACACATTCTCCAAAATCGCGATGAGCGGAAACGCCCTGTCCAACAATGGGTGCCAGAAAGAACAAATTTGCACTGACTTGAAACTTGCAGAACAACCTACACTGACTTGAAACTTGCTATAGACTAGGTGCCTCTCGATCGCTGTGAGGCAGTCCCAGAAGCATCTGGCAGCCAGCTCTTCGAAAAACTTGCTGTTGCGTCTCAGCCTCGAAAACCTCGGGTGGAGAAATCTAGACGGACACTGATTGATACTTAACTCCTTTGCACGCAAACGAGGCTCGGCTGGCATGGAAAACCAGCGGCATAGAAGATACTGTCGTTCACATCACTGTCATCATAGGTCCGCTCGCCCATAGATGTGAAAAGCCTGAAGCTCGGTGCTGAATTTCAGGATTCAATTTAATGTGAGGAGGGAACATGTTTATGTTGCTTCACAGCATTCTGGGGTGTGCCTGACAGCACTGATGACTATGAGCAATCAATGTCAACACTCAATAAGGGGCTACATGCTGGAGGAGGGAACATGGAGGAGGGCAGTGCAGCTTTGTCCTGCTTCACAGCAATCAGGGGTGTGTCTGACGGCACTGGTCTGATGATGACAGTGAGCAATGTCAACACTCAACAAGGGGCTACATGCTGGAGGAGGGAACATGTTTATGTTGCTTCACAGCAATCGCGGGTGTGCCTGACGGCACTGCTGTCACCGCCATGCCAGAGTGTGGGTAACAGGGACACAGCAGTGACTACTGCCTCGCAAGTCAAGACTAAGAGTCTTCCTCGGCTTCGAGTTCGCCAAGATGAACTTCAGGGGCGCTTTGGCATGGTCCGTCGAGGCTGTGACGGCGACCTTCGCAGAATCCGTTTCTTTTTGTTTTTTCCTCATGACTCAATGACTCCCTTGCACCTTCTCGCCCAGGAGCTCTTCCAGACCCCAGAGCGCACCTTCTGCGCCAGAGCCTTCTTTGGGTGGAAAAGCCCATGACGCAATGACTGTGTGACTGTGTCATTGTGCAGATAGGGAACAATCACTCATCAGGGACCAGCTAGCCGACACAGAATCAATGATCTGCTGCACACCTGAGAATCAACATGTCAACTATTAAATGGTCAAGGTCAAAAGGTTCTTCAAACTTTCCATGGACCAAATGCAGTCCAGACGCCAGCTTTGCGAGCCATATCCCGTCCCCA